CTGGTGGGCTCAGGGTCACCACTGGGCCTAGGTAGAAGCTGGGCTGCATCCGACCATGCAGGCCTAGCCAGGCCTCAGCCAACCCCATGGGCGCTCTGAGTTGGGATAAGGGGACTGGGCCTTTCTGTTCCCATGTCATTGTTAGCTGGGGCATGGCTGGGACAAGGGTGCTCAAGAGGGCCAGGAGCACAGGGCTGGGGTTCCCAGCAGCTGGAGGCTAGGGGCTCAGTCCTGCAGGGATGTGGGAGGTGCTGGCCAGTAGCCAGTAACCAGAGTCTAGGTTGGCACTGCAAGGGACATTCCTAGACAGAGCCCTAGTCTAGGGAGCAAGTGTAGCCCAGTGGGTGCCTGGTGGCAGGACAGAGTGACCCGGCACCCTGCACCTGCCCCTTCTTCTCCACACGCCACCCTCCCACATCCAGTACTCGCTGCCACTGGTACCTGTGCAGGCGGTGGCTACCGTGCGCCTCTTCCCGGCAGGCGCTGCTGGCTCCATCCCAGGGTACAGCAGTGGGTACAGCCTAATTGGGAAGCCCAAAGCACTGGGCATCTGAGAGGACATTGTAGTGACAATTGTAATGGTGGTGACAACAGGGTAGGGGTGACTGGGGCAAGAAGGGAGGCACTCATCAGTCCCCAGAAAGACACGGGGGTACTGAGGTGACGGGAGCAGGACTGAGGGTAAGGACAGTGGGGACCAGGAGGAGCATGCAGAAGGCTGACAAGGTCAAGGGTGGAGCAGGAGGACAGGGAGCCAGGCCCTCCTTGGGCTGGCCTATGTCTCCTGCTGGGGACCTCAGGGGGAACTTGCACCTCTGCTCCCCTTCTCTTGGCCACAGTCCCAGAATCCTGCCCCCTGGCTGGGCTCCCTGCCGGCCCCCACATCCTGTTCCAAGTCCCTCTCCTGCCTCACACCTCATGTCTTGGCAAGCTTCGCTCAAGCCCCCTCCTCCAGAAGAAGCAGGCCTGGGAGGAAGTGTCTAGCCACACAGGGACCATCTGGGAGACACTGGGCTGTCCGGCTCTCAGGCAGGCGCTGGCCTCTGCTGGGCCAAAGATTGCTCCATGCTGGAGTCAGGGCTCAGGACGGGGCCCAGGCCCTCCCTGCCCCAACTCGAGCCTCGCTGCCCTGCAGGCAGCAGGCAGAACTGAGCTCCGCTCCTGGGGTCTGGCCTCCCCCAAGGGAAGAGCACAGGGCCCCCCAGGTGCCTCATGGCCTCCCTCTGGCTCCTCGGCTTTGAAGGCACCACCTTCCTCCCTCTAGCCACCACCCCCAGACCGTGCCTCGCTAAAGATAGCCAGAGGCCCGCAGGCTGGGCCTCCTCAGGCCCTGAAATTATAGCCCTGGTGGCCCAGAGGGGAGAGTTGCTGTGTGATTATATTCTCAAGGGAAGGTCAAAAAAAGCTCCCGGCATAGAGAGTGCCAGCTTTCACCAGCCACTCCTCAGTCATGCAGCACCAGGAAGCTTCCAGATAGCAGAGGCTCGGCCCACTCAGCACCGGCTCAGCTGTCCCTGGGGCATGTCCGTAACTGCCCCGGCCCTGCACTCAGATGCCCCCGGAGCATCACTTTCACAGCCCCCTGGGGCTCCAGGTCGTCACTCAAGAGACCCTCCCCTGCCCATACCCAGCCCTGAGCATGCCGGCGGCGGCGTTGGGCAAGGACAAAGCCAGCAGGCTGAGAATGAGGCCACTCTGGGTGGAGTCACTTGCTCAGGAAGTAACCTTGATGTGTGTGTGGCACATCCTTGGCTGGGCGTTTGTCCTGGAGGCTGAGACATAAGGCTACTCCCATGAGAGAAACCCCTTGCTCTGGGCGGGAAGCCCTCCCTGCCCCAGGCCCCTGCATGCACTCATCATACCTGGCCACCTGGTTGAACCTGGTCACCTTGCTTTTTGAAGCATGGCTCACTGCAGCTCCCCACTCCTGCCTGGCTCTCCCTTCTGTCACTGTGTCCCATCCCATAGTGTCACCAGGATGGACAGGGAGGGGGAGGAGTCGTGTGCTGAGGCAGAAGGGTTCTAGAAGTAACCACCCACAGAGAGCAGGGGAGCAGGGCAGAGGGCCTCTGAAGCTAGGGCCGTGTTGTTCTTCTGGATGGGCTGGGGCTCCAGCAGGAGCTATCTCAGCTGCTGCCGCCTCTGTAGGGGGCCTTCCATGAGCCCCTGGGAGCCCCTGCACACTGGGCCACCTCCCAGGCTGCTAGGCCCTGCCCTCTGGGTGCCCTGCTTCTCTCCTGGGCCTCCCCCCACTAGTTTGAGGCCAGGGTACAGACAGCTGCAAGCCAGCTGTGGGGGGACAGGCTGCAGCTGACTCCAGGTCCTTCTCCCAGCGCCGGCCAAGGAGATGGCAGCTGGCTTGGATTCCCCTGTCTGGGGGAGGGGGCCCTCTGAGAGCTGCTGGCCCGCCCTGCCTCCCCTCCTCCCAGCCCCCCTCCCAGGCTCTCTCCCTCCGTCACAGGAGCCCTCGCCCTGCCTCCTGTCTCAGGACCGCCCCCACCCGCTGCCGCCAGCACCTGCCTATGGAGGGCTAGGTGAGGACTGGCTGCTCAGAGCCACTCAGGGCTGCCTTCACCACAAGCTGGAGGGGACGGGCTCCTCAGGTAGAGAGTCCTTGGTTCCCTCTGGCAGGAGAAGGGCCTCCTGGCTAAGAGGAAAGGACCTCCTGGCCCTCTGCAGTCTTCTGGGGGAAGTATCCTAGCTAGGGCTTTGGGGGCCTGGCCGGTGGTGTCCCACAGTCACACACAGGCCATGCTGGAAGGGGCTGGGCTCTGTCTCCCCAGCCCCTGTGCCCTGTCTGCCCTGGTTCCCGGGAGCTAAGACAGCTGTGTGTGTCACCTCCTCCCCAGGAGCCCGGGGGGCCTCAGGAAATGCCTGCTCTTCCTTCCTGCCTGCCCCCCATGCCTGCCCTCCTCCTGCACCCCACCCCCCAGAGGCTGAGAGGCCAGAAGGGCAGGAGGCCGCCTGCATCACTAGCCAGCAAGGATGTGCTGTTCTCAGCGCTGCTGCAGCTGGGATCCAGGTTGCTCCTGCGGAGAGCTGAGGCCTAGGGAGGGGGAGGGGGAGGCCCAAGGAGTGAGGTGCTGCCTGGCCGGTCTGGGAGCGGCCCCCAAATTAGAGGGCCAGAATGAGTGACTCAGTGGGCCCTGGGCTGGGCGAGCAGTTATGGCTTATTGCAGACTGCAAACCACAGACACAAGAACCTTCCAGGCCCAAGAACCGTATTTACAGAAGTATTGCCCCAGAAGCAGCTCCTGACTACAGCCAAGAGCTCCAAGGTGCATAATGTGTCCCCATACACCCTGCAGGAAGGTGCCTGGCTGAGACCTGAGGGTGAGGTCTGTGCTCCCACAGCCACCACACCCTCTGCACCTTGCCTATGCTCTTCCTTCCAGCGGCGATGTCCCTCTTCCCTACCGGCCCGCTCCAGGTCACCTCCTCTGGATAGCCTTCCTGAGCCTCTGGCACTGTGCGAGCCGTGGGGAGGCAAGAAACAAGAGCATCCCAGCACCCCTCATGTGCTCAGCACAGCCTCGGGAGCGCCCACTGCCTTGGGCCTTTCCCCAGCCAAGCCCATCCCCACCCGGACACCGGGCTCAGTCAGGGACACAGGCCTGCTCCTCTGGCAGTAGGCGTGCCTTACACACCTACTGCGTGTAAGGGTTTTTCCCTTTTCTAAAACAGCTTTGTTGAGATAGACTTCACACTGCAGATAATTTGTCCGTTTAACAAGTACAAGTCAATGATTTTTATTTAGTGTAGTCACCCGGACTGCCAGTCAGCCTGCACCGCCGGAGCCCCATCTCTACTGAGTATTCACCTGCTAATGGGCTGGCCTCTGGGTCCGAATCCAGGGGGGCAGCAGGAAGGGGTGGGGGCAGAGATGCAAAAACTTTTGAGCTTTTTCTCTCTATATGCAGTTTTCTCTCTCAGTCCCCAGTTCTCCTTTTGCAGACCTCAGTGTCGCTCCCTGCCTCGGTTCCTTACTCTGTCTAAACCTTCGCCTTTGTCTCTCGGGAGCTGCTCTTGCCAGGGGAGGAATGGGGCACCACTGGACAGGGAGGACATGTCAAGCTAAGGACCTGGGCCCTAGATGCAGGCAGAGCTGGACTCACTGGGGCCCTCAGGAAGCGGCCCGGCTGAGGCTCGGCTGACCCAGTCAGCCCCTGTAAATGACCAGCACAGGGCTGAGCCCAGAGGAAATGCCCACCCACAGAGCGGTTATCGCGTCCTAGGGGACTTGCATGGATTGAGCAAGAAGGATTACTCCCGGGTTCCTCTTGTCTGAATCAGCTTTCCCACTCGCCGCTTCTCCGGGGCCTCGGAGCAGGCAGGCTGGGGAGACCCCAGAGTCTGTGGAGCTGGGGCCCATCCTGCTACCACACAGACAAGACTGTTTCCTCTCTTTAAGGGAAGAAAGGCTGGGTGGGAGGGAGGGTGTGCACAGCGCCCAGGAGCCTAGATCAAGCCCTTCCAGAAACCCACAGCAGCTGCCTCTATGATCCCAGAGAAACCACCTCCTTGCTTAGGCCCTGGCAAGGCAGGTTCCAGGCGGGCTCCGGACAGAATCCCAGGGACCACTCACAGGCCTAGCAACCCAAGGCCACCTCCCCCTCATCTTCCTTCCATTTCTGCCCTGTCTCTTTCCTCTGCCTGGCGGGATGCCAGCAAGCACCTCAGTGTCCCCATCTGGGCAGTGGAAAGTTTGACTCTCAGAGGCTGTGCCTGCCCAGAGACGCCAAGGGTCCTTGTGGGAGTAAGTGTGAGTGTGTGTCCGTTTGCTCTGTGCCCGAGGCAGGGGTGGGGGCGGGGGAGGGGGTGCTAGCCCAGCCAGCCGTCTACAAGAAAATTGCTCCCTTTGAAGCTGCCAGGGGGGCAGGGAAGCCTGCCCCCTCCCTCCCGCCGCCACCGACCGCCCTCTCCGCCCCACCAGCCCCCTCCCTCCTTTCCTCTCTCCCTGCCCCCTCCCCCGTCCCCTCCCGCCGCCGGCCCGCCTGCCCAGCCTTTAGCCTCCCGCCGGCCCGCCTCCGACTCCCTCTCTCCACCAACTGCCCAGGAGTGAGCAGCTGCTTTCTGTCCGCCCGACGACAGACAGAAGCACAGACGGCCGCCATCCCAGCCTGCCAACTAGCCAGCCTGCGCCTGGCCTTTTCCCCTCCGCAGGTAGGGCCCCCGCACCAGCCCCACACCAGCCCCGCACTGTCCCAACTGTCCCCCCGCTGGCCTCAAGCTGCCCCCTTGGCAGCCAGGAGATGCCTCCCTCTCCCACCCCAGGACACCCTTCGTCACCACCCTGTGGCCCCCTGCCTCCTTGTCCTTTTTACCTGTCCCCCACCCTCCAGGCACCTTTCCCCCAGCCCTGCCTTCCCCTCTCCCCTCTGACCTTGCCCCAGCCCTGTCCATTTCTTGTCTCTCTGCTTCTCTCCTCGGGGTCCTTCCACTCAGCTGCCATCCCAGAACATCACTGGGTGGCTGGCACCCCAGTTTTGCCAACGGCTCTGTCCCATCACTGCAAGTCCCAAGCGCACCCTCCACTCCCGCCAGCCTCCCTCTGTCCAGGCGCCTCCTTGCTCTGGGGCTTGGCGCCTGGCCGGGTTGGGGAGCACCGCCGCCGCTGAGTGCCCGCTGAGCTCAGCCAGGAGCCCCCGCTGCCTGGGGCTAGTCTATGGCATGGGCTGAGGGACTTGGTTTCCCAGGCACGCCCCAGGCACCCTGCCCAGATGTTCCTCGCTCGCCCCCCGGCTAATGCCCTGCCTCTACTTGCTCCTGTGAGATGTTGGTGCACAGAGCCCTGGCTGCGGGGGCCATGAGTGTGGCTGACTGGGTACTCAGTCCTGTCTGTCCCCAGAACCCCTTGGACTGGGACTTGGAATGGGCAGGGGAGGGGGAGGAGAGAAAATCAGGCAACCATGCCATGTTCCCTGGGGCAGACCTGGCTTAGGGCCCCAGAAGGCTCTGCCAAGAGACCTAGGAGACGGAGTACTGAGGGTGTCTACTGAGTGCCCTGGGCTGGCTGCCTGCAAGCCTTCTGAGGGCAAGTGTGGCAGATCTCACTCAGGCCAGGGTGATTGTCCTCCAGCGGTGCTTGTAGTAGGCCTGCTCTCCTGTATCCTGGCCAGCCAGGCCACTCAGGTCATCCAGGGGCCTCCCACTCCTCTGCCCTTGCCCCTCCCTGGCCTGCCAGCTCTGTGCCTTGTAGCAGCTAATTGGGATGGAACAAGCTGAGATGAGGGGGCTTCCCTCGGGGCCAGAAATGTTCTCCGGGTCCTGTGTCCAGGGGTGCGGGTGAGCGCCTCCAATCGACGTGCGGCCGCCTGTGCCAGGCACACCCTGGGAGAACCAAGGGGCGGGCAGGGGCTCCTTCGTGTGGAGCGTGCCCATGTATGGCTACTGTGGGCCGGGGTGAGCGAGCCTTTGAGGGCAAGCCTGTGTGGGTGGATTGAAAGGAAGGCACAGGACTGCCTTCAAGCCACCAGGGCTGGGCGGGGGAAGCAGGCTCTGAGCCAGGGAGCAGAGAGGGCTCCTGTCGCAAGCTGGCCAGCTGTGACTGGCAGCCCTGGCCTCCCTGGGCCGCCTGCCTACCTCCAAGCCCCAGGGACCCAGGTTGGGTATTGCTCCCCCGCTGCCTCTGCATAGGTGACGGGTCTGAGGCCGGGCTCTTTCTCAGCGGTTCTGCACTGGCTCATTTTAGGGGCGCAGAGAGTTGGGGTGCCAGCCCCTGACCATCATGCGGGGCGACGTATGAGCATTAGCCAAACCTCCCCCCAGTCCCTCCAGCAGCCCGCTGCTGTTGCAGGATCACGCATGGGGAAGGATAGAAGGAAAGGTGATATCCTCAAGGCAAGGAGGAGTTTCCTTTCTTTACCAACATTCCGTAATCACTCAAACAAGGCCACAGAGGAAGGATTTGTAATGAGCTCACACTTAACAGGTTGCACCTGGAGCCTTCTGAACGGGCTTCTGATTCCTTGGCGCCCTGTGCAGGGTGGGTGGTGATGGGAACACTCCCAGTCTCCCCTACTTCCCAGGTCCCCCACTGTCCCTCCTCCACCCCTTGGAGACAGCACAGCACAGGACTGTCCCAAGAGTCACTTGTCCATGGAGGCACAGGATTCCCAGCACACTCCCCACCCTCGGGCATCGTCCCAGCCCTGGGGCCTCCGACGCCCACCTTGCTCACCCCCTGACACCCCTGATTGTCAGAAAGGGCTTCTCATGCCCACCGCAACCCCCTCCAACTCCTCCTCATTGATTACCCCAGGGCAGGTGAGCTCAGTCCCTGCCCTGAGCTGTCCGCTCCCCCAGCTTCCAGGCTGCCCACTGAGCCCGACAGCTCTAGTAGCCCCACTGGTGGGAAGGGGACACACTAGCCAGGGGCCTTGCTCACCCGAGGGGCTGGGGGCTGATGGCGGCTCTCCCCGGCACCCTGCATGGGCCGTGGGCTGTGGGCCATGGGGTGCGGGTGGGCAGTGGCTCCCTCCTAAGGCAGGCCGGAGTGGGGTCCTGCTGGCTCTGTCCCCACCCTGCTGGCTGGGGCCTGGGGAAGTCTAGTTCCCCCCTTCCTGTTCTCTTCTGCTCAGACACTGGGCTGGGGGAGAACAGGGAGCCACACCTTGGCCATCCACAGAGCCCTTTCTGCAAATTTTAGCGGGACTGGCGGATGTGGGGTGGTGCATGAAGAGGGGGGCTGCCCTGGGAGGGGTGGCTCAATCCTGCTCCTAGCCTGAGGCCCACTGAGCCTAACTGGATGGCAGGACCCATGGCCAGACCCTCTTCCAGTCTTCCAGAAAGAACCAGCTTCCCAGTGTCCCCTAGGGAAAGCATGGGGCTCACTGGGCCACCTCCTCTGGAGGGTGGGGGCTGTGTATCATGTCCCCTCACCTTCTGGGCCAGCAGGTCCCTTCCCCCACCTGGACCCACAGCTAGAGGGGCCCTCCCAGGCCTCCTTCATGACCTCTGGGCCCCAGGCTCCTGGAAACCACCCCAGCACCCCCACCACTGTTTGCCTTCTTCTCCCACCCCTCATTGCTCTGAGTCTGGGCAGCCTGGAGTGGTGTGGCCATGGAGGGGGGCCACCAGCCCCAGCTCTTCCAAATGCTGCAAAACAGCCCCTGCTTCCCACCTGCTCAGCTCCAACTGTAGCCTGCAGAGCATGGCCAGCTCTCTGCTCACCGGCAGGCCAGCATCACTGACATTGCCAGGCCCAGTGAAGGTGCCTTCCCCTCCCTGTGGTTTGGGGACCTGGGGGCTGTAGCCAGCCTTCTTGCACAGAGCCCTCCAAGTCCGCTGCATCTTAAACCCACGCTCAACAGAAACACTGGCCTGGGCTGAGCTTGAGGGACCCAGCCTGGACTGTATGGGACCCTTGAACTTGCCCCTGCTTCCCCATGGGCTGCTAGGTATCCCCCACCCGTTTGGTCTCTGGGGGTCAGAAGGCCAAGGAGAACAGAGCCGGCAGAGGTCTAGGTGGCCACGGGATTAGGGATTTTGTGAACAGAAGTGAGACTCGAAGGAGGGCCGTCTTGTCCCTGGAGATAGGGGAGGTCTGGGAGGCCAGTGCAACGTTTGTCCTCTAGCAGACTGAGCCCCTGCTTGGCCTGCAAGGAGACACACCCCCACGGGAGCCCGGTGGCCAGCAGATGAACAGGCCAGATCCCAGCCCAGCCAGAGCCCCGGCAGAGGGAGGGGACCGGTGCAGGGGTGGGGCTGCTGGAGACTCAGAGCCTCTCCCCCTGATACCTGGCTGTTGTCTTGCCGTGGCTGGGCTGGACAAGGGAAGGAGGCAGGCAGGGCCCCAGGCTCTGATGGCCAGGCTGGAAACATCTCCTTTGGGGTAATGAAGTGTTCAGAGGTGGCAGCTCCCTGGCCCAGCCAAGATGATGGCTTTTCCAAAAGACTTCCCTGCAGACAGAGGCAGAGGCAAGAGGGTCGGGGCTGGTTTAGTGGGTGTACTGGGGCTGAGGAGCTTCTGGCTGCATGGGCAGTGGGAGCTATTGATGGTGATAGCCAGAGAGAAGTGCCATATTTCCAGCTAGGGTGAGGGAGCTGCCAAGGAGTCTTCTCCCATACCCCCGGGGACTGGTTGAGCCCCCTGCACAACCCAGGCAGTGTGAGACATTGCAGCTTTGGGGCTTGCAGCAATGTCTGCAATGGCAGAGGGTGGGTCTAGATGCACGGGCAGCTCTACCATTCACCCCTCTGCGGCCTTGGGCAAGCATTGTGGGCAGTCTCTGAGCCTCAGTTTACTCCTTCATCAAGTTGTAAAAGTGCGGCTTCCTTCTTACTGTCAATGAGCGCAGGCTGGGGCTAGGTAAAGAAATCACTTGAGTCCCCTGCCCTACCCCTGGTAGGTGACAGCACCTCCTTCTTTCTCACAGTTTCTAGCACATGGCAAGTAGGAGCCCGGGATTTCTCCAGTGAGGAGGGAGGGGGAGGGAGGGCATGCAGCCCAGGTGTGGAGGGTCCAGGAAACCCAGGGCTCCCAGCTGACCAGGATCATCTGCTGCCCGACTCCTTTCCAGAGGTTTTCTGGCGGGGTAGGGGCAGGGGTGAATGCACCCAGCCACCTCACCAGCTCCCTGGTGCCAGCCCTTTGCAGCCTCTGACACTCACGTCAGGTCTAGTCTGTCCTCAAAGTGCAGGACCCAGATCTGTGGTCAGGGCCGCAGCAGGAAGGAGATGTCCTGGCTGGCTGTGCTTAGGCAGCGGCTGCTCTTGCAGCCTGAATGGCAGGCCGGGGCAGTGCCGGGGGCTCAGAGTGCAGCTGGGGTGCAGATGGAGCAGTGCTTAGGGTGCATCCCTCCCCACTCCAGCCCCTAGCCCCGCAGGCAGCCACCCCCACATCCATACACACACACACACACACGCACACATGGGCTTCAGCAGAGCCATGGAAGGCACTCATCCCCTCTCTCCAGGTGACACCCAAGTGCAGGCTAGAGCCACTGGGGACAGGTGGGCTGGGGCCTGGGAGGGCACCATGGAGCAGGCTGGGTGTCAGCCAAGACATGAGCGCCTGCCTGCTGGTTGAAGCTGGACCCAGAGGACTTTGGTGGCCAGAGCGGAGGGAGGAAGGGTGCAGTCCCAGGGGCCCTGCAGGCTGCTTGTGTCAGAGTTCAGGTCGGGTAGCTTGGTGGGGCCAGATTCCCTGGCTGAGGCCGCAGAGACAGAGCCTGGTGTCCACTACTTGGCAGCCACGAGCCACACATCTGCAGGCGAGCTCCCGGGGCCTGCCAGACCTCAAGTCCTGCTCCTGCCACCCTTGGCCTGGCCTGAATGCCTGGCACGGCCCCTCCGTGTTCTCAGAGGCTGCCAACGCGTCTTGTTTGGCAGAGACCTGGAGCAATCCTGCGCAGAGGACTGCACTGGCTTTCAGAAAGGCAGACAAGGAGGGCCCTATTGGGATGGCAGCAATGACTCCAGGAAGCCCAGCCTCTTCCCTTGCTCACACCTGCGGTCACCGGGCCCAAGGCTTGCCACCATTACCGCTTCTTTCCTTTGCTCTGGGGAGGTGGCATCCAGGGAGCTCACAGCACACTTTGATGGGGCTAGAAGCCCTCCCTGAAGTCCTTGGGGACACACCCATGGAGGCCAGTGAAGGGAAACTGAGGCCCCGGCGGTGGTGGGGAGATGGGTTCCACGGGAGGGCCCTGCTGTGGCCCTTACGCATCCATCCGCAGGGTACTCCTGCTTCCCGGGCTGCGGCCCTGCCTGCCTCCTCAGAGAGAGAGCATGAGTGTGTGCACGTGTACATGCATTGGTGGGGGGCGTATCTGTGGCAACCTCCCCAACCACCACCAGCAGACCCGGGCGCTCCTCCCCCCGGCTGTCTGCATTGCCCACCCTCAAGCCAGCTAGTCCCAGAGACCCCCAGGAGCCCTTGTGGCTGAGGAGCACAGTTGGAAGCTCAGGGCCTGAAGCTGCCAGAGCCAGGTTCCAAGTCTCAGGCTGAGTGACTTGGGGAAGTCAGTTCCTCTCTCTAGGCCTCAGTTTTCTCATCCATAAAATGGGGGTCCTAATGTGCTGGCCACAGGGGAGCCTTCTTCCTCTGGCTCCCTCTGGCTCTGTGGGCTCAGCGTCTGGCCTACCCCTTCCCCTGCAGAGTTCTGGGTGCTGAGTTTTGTGCCAGTTCTCTGAGGGGAAATGAGGGCTGTGCCGGGAAGCCTGCCCAGCGCAACCCCCGCCCGCCAGCCTGCCCACTGCTTGGGCCCAGCCATGAGCCATGGAAAACCAGCCAAACCTTGTCCTTCTGCCTCTGTCACAGGGCCCTGGTGTGTGGGCCTCCAAGCCCGCAGCCTCTCCCCTTTCAGGGTGAGCCTGAGCTGGAACCAAGCAGGGAGGGCTGGCCTTGCCCCCAGCCCCTCTCCCAAACTTACGACTGTGCTGGGCACAGCTGCTCTGAACTGGAGCACTTCCTCTAGAGCCCCGTCTCCCCAAGACTGGTCCCATGGACCCACCTGGGACCCCACTGGCCAGTCTGGCCCTGGCCTGCCCTCTCAGGGTCCTCCCCCTGGTGGACGGTCCTCCCCAACAGGCTGCCCGCCTTCCCAGAAGTGCCCTCGGGGAAGCCTTGGCTTCTGAGGGTCTGGGAGCAGTGTGCAGGTAGGTGGTCCTCTGTGCTTCCAGCCCTCCTCAGCCCCAAGCAGGCCTCTCCCCACAGCCTCCACTGTGCCTGGCCAGAGCACACCCCACCGCCTTTGTCCAGGTGAGCTGTGAGCCCCAAGGCCTTCCAGGGCTCGGCTGGGCGTTCCAGCCCTGGCTCACGCCCCCTGTGAGGTAGCCGCATTGGCAGGGGCGTCAGGCAGGGAGGAGGCAGGGGAGTCTCCTCCCTCTCTCCCATTCCATCTTGCTCCCTGCCTTCTTCATCCCCGTCCTGTTCTCGCCCTCTCCTCCTCCCCTCAGCCCTCCGGTCTCCAGTGGGACCTGGGCAAGGGCCCTGTGTGGTGGCAGCAGATACAGGAGGCCCTGGCCTGTCCTGTCCTGTCCTGGTGGTTGCAAACTGAGGGGAAGAGAAGGGAGAAGCCGTGCAGGTAGGCAAGCTCAGGTCCTTCTACCTACTCTGGGGCCAAGATCCTCTGGGGACTCTCCTGGGTGCTTCTGGGCCAGCCTAGGGCTGGCAGGCCCTGGAATGTGATCTTGGGGTCTTGAGGCTTGAAGGAATGAGGGAGGCTGGGTGCTGCCCGGCACCAAGTCCAGCTCTCCTGGCGAGAGGGAAGCAGCTAAGCTGCCGGCTCTGACCCCATCTTGCTGCGCGGCCTGGGGCCATGGGCTGTGGGGCCTGCGGGGGGTTCGGGCGGCTGCAGAGAGGCCTCTCCACTCCTTGCCAACAGCAGCTGCAGCTCCAGCCTCACCACAGGTCCCTCTGCCCACGGGCACAGGTGTGGGCCAGGGCAGGCCACAAAAGCCTCTCAGGAGATGTGTGTGCGTGGATGCCTCCCCAGGATGCCCAAGGGACCCCACAGGGGTGGCAGGAGAGGCCTCCACCTCGACCTTCTCCTGGGATTGATGGGAATCAGAGGGGCAGTGGTTGTGCCCAGACCCAACTAGGCCTGGAGGTGGCCCCAGGCCCCTCGCCTGCTGGTGGCAAGGACTCGAAAGCAGCAGCTTCCGGTGGCCAGCCCAGACCCCTGGTAAACTGGGCCTGCCTGGGAAGCAGCAGGCTTCCAAGCTGCTTGGGGGTGCTGGCCTGGGGTTCGGAGCCCTCGGCACCCCAGGCCTCCTTACACCTATTGCAGCCAGTGGTTGGGCTCAGGAGGCTCACCTAAGTGGGGGGCCTCCTCGGGGTGGGGCTGGTTTGGGTCTGCAAGAGCCCCTGGTGCCAGCTGGGCTCCCTGTCCACAGATGCACCTGGGGCAGCTCAGAGAGCCAAGCCTGGGAGGCAAGCAGGGCAGGCATGTTTATTCCCATTTAACAGATAAGCAAATGAGGCTGGGACAAAACCTGGGCCTTTGCCGGGGAATCAGGGTAAATGAGGAGGTAGGAGGGGCTGGAGGGGGCTGTGTCTGAGGAGGAGGGAACAGGCGCGTGTGGGTGCAGGGGGCAGGCTTGGGCAGGGCATCTCAGCCTGGGGGGCCTCCAGACAAGCCTGACCCTGCCCTGCCACCCTGGCAGCAGTCTGCTCCCCTTGGGGGGCTGTCTGGGGGCCGAGGCCATGGGCAGGAAGGAAGGGCTCTGTGGGCCAGGCAGGGGGAGCAGTGGGCCCTCTGGTCAGAGCCGCCTTGGCCGATTTTGCCCACAGCCTCGAAGGACACCTCTCTTTCTCCAGACTGCTGCCCCTGCCTCGGCCTCCAGACCTTCTCAGAGGAATGTGGGCACAGGGGAAGGGGGACAGGCAGGGAAGGAAATGACTCATGGTCGCCTAACTCAGCTAACTTCGCATCGCCCTGAGCCTAGAGCTCTCAGGAGGGGCTGGCCAAGGAGGCCGCAGTGATCTCCAAAGTGAATGCTTCAAAGCCTGGGGCCAAGTACCGGGTCCCCCCTCTGCCTCCTCCTCGACCTCAGTGACCCCCACCCCAAGGCAGGCCAGTTCCGTGGCACGGGGGCTACAGACCTGCTACTTGGGAAGACATCTCCTTGCCCAGCAAAGCAAGTCCTGCCCTGGGGAGGGAGGGGAGGGGAGCAGGATGAGGTGCCCCCGGCCAGCAGCACACTCCCATCCTGCCCCGGCTTCCCACCCTGTGGTTGGGCTGTCCCTGGTGAGGGATGGGGACACAGGGCCAGCACCCGCACAGAGCACCAGCCCCTTGGTGTTGGGAAGATGGGTGGGAACATGTCCAGAGGGTGGGAGCTAATGCTGACGGCAGGCCTCCCTTGCCCCGACTCCCAGGCACAGCCACCATGCGGCCACTGTGGCTCCTCGCGTCTCTGCTGGCCCTGAGCCAAGCCCTGCCCTTTGAGCAGAAGGGTTTCTGGGACTTCACCCTGGACGATGGGCTGCTCATGATGAATGACGAGGAGGCTTCGGGCGCTGACACGACCTCAGGCATCCCAGACCTGGACTCCCTCACGCCCACCTTCAGCTCCATGTGTCCTTTCGGCTGTCACTGCCACCTGCGGGTTGTTCAGTGCTCTGACCTGGGTCAGTCCCTGGCAGTAGGGGGGAGGTGTACAGGGAGAACTCCTCCTCAGGGGGACACGTGACTGTCCTGTGGATGGGGAGATGGGGAGAGCCCCCGCAGGCTTGGGGATTGTGATGTGAGGGTGTGGGGTGTCCAGCGGTCAGGCTGCCAGCGAGCGAGGAGCAGCAGAGCCTCCGTCTACAAGCTCTGGAGCTTGCACCCATTTGTAGTTGAGTCCCTGTGTCTGTATCGGTGTCCCTATGTGTGTGTGTGTCCCTGGCCCTCCATACCAACAGGGCTAGCAGGCTGGGTGGCCCCATGCTCATGTTGGGGACTGTGGTGCCGGCCCCCAGGTCTGAAGTCTGTGCCCAAAGAGATCTCGCCTGACACCACGCTGCTGGACCTGCAGAACAACGACATCACTGAACTCCGCAAGGATGACTTCAAAGGCCTCCAGCACCTCTACGTAAGTGCCAGCCTCTCCTGCGTAAAGGGCCCTTTCTGAGGAGCTGGGAGGAGTCAACAGGTCTACAGCTGGGGCTATGAGCCAGATGGGTGTGTTTGCACATATGCGTGGGGCATGAAGGCGGCCTGCGACCCATGGAGTTCTGAGAAAAGTCTGGAGCCAGCCGTGGCAGGAGCTCCCGGGGTCATGGCTCACTAGCGTGTGTGTGAGCGACCGTAGGTGCAGGACAGCATTATTCAGCTTGGTTCCCTTTTCATCATGTTGGTTCCTCCCAGTGACACAGGAGAACAGATTTCACTGTGGCCAGTGTGCACATGGGGAAACTGAGGCATGGAGAAGTGACAGGCTGCACTAGGCAGCAGCAGCGTTGCTGGGGCTCTCTGCCCTGTGCTCCCTGAAAGCACAGACTGCCCTCGAGGCCCAGCTGCTCGGACATGTCTGGCACCATCAGTAGCAAGCTCATGCGAGCAGGGGTGGGGAAATAGCACCTTCACCTCTGTCACCTGACCTGCCTCAGGCCCTCGTCCTGGTGAACAACAAGATCTCCAAGATCCACGAGAAGGCCTTCAGCCCCCTGCGGAAACTGCAGAAGCTCTACATCTCCAAGAACAACCTGGTAGAGATCCCTCCCAGCCTGCCCGGCTCCCTGGTGGAGCTGCGCATCCACGACAACCGCATCCGCAAGGTGCCCAAGGGCGTATTCAGTGGGCTCCGCAGCATGAACTGCATTGGTGAGTGCAGCCCCGGCCCTGTGACAGTCCCCACCCTGGTGGCTGGCAGAAAGGAGTCAGGGAGACTGAGCCATCCAGTACAGCCATGGAGGAGCCTGGTGGGCCTCCTGGAACATTCTGGAGACTTGTCTTGGGGCATGGAGAAGGGAGACCAGTTCGAGAGTCTTTTGAAACAGTCAAAAGAAAGTTGGACGTGTTTCTGAGCAAACCCTCTGCTGCAGGGACCGCTATGGCCAAAGGGGGCATGACAGAGGGCTGGGCCTGGTCGGGGTGGGGTCGGTGTTCGGGTAGCCAGCTGGAGACTGCCAGCGCTAGCCAGTGGGGCCGGGGTGGCCTCAGAGAGCCCAATCATCACTTCTAGCACTCCTTGCCCCCCCTTCTGCCTCCCACTGTCCCCAGAGGCCAATCCCAGGCCCAGTGCCCTTGGGGCCAGCAGTCTTGAACAGCTAGGAGTTTGCAATTAGCCCGATTTACAGGGAGGAGATGGGGGAGCTGACAGGCCTGGGGGTGTGCAGGCAGCCACTGGCTCCAGGGCTGAGGGGGCCTGTCTCCTAGAGATGGGCGGGAACCCCCTGGAGAACAGTGGCTTTGAACCTGGAGCCTTTGACGGCCTGAAGCTCAACTACCTGCGCATCTCAGAGGCCAAGCTTACCGGCATCCCCAAAGGTAGGAAGGCCGCCTTCCTTCCCGCCCTACCTCGCCTCTTAAGACCAGGGATGGGCAGAGCCTACTTGGGGAAGGACTCGGTAGCCCCCTCCTGCCACCTGGGGTAACTGCATTCACCTCGGTGCACCCCTTTGTCCTGGCAGACCTCCCCGAGACCCTGAATGAGCTCCATCTGGACCACAACAAGATCCAGGCTATCGAGCTGGAGGACCTGCTCCGCTACTCCAAGCTGTACAGGTGGGGCCGGGGCATGAGGGGGCGCCAGAGTCCCCTCAGTGCTGTGCACCCTGGGGCCGGACCACTGCCCTTGTCCCCTCCAGCCTCTGAGTGATGTCATTTGCTCATTTGCAGGCTGGGCCTGGGCCACAACCAGATCCGGATGATTGAGAATGGTAGCCTGAGTTTCCTACCCACCCTGCGGGAGCTGCACTTGGACAACAACAAGCTATCCAGGGTGCCCGCTGGGCTCCCAGACCTCAAGCTCCTGCAGGTGAGGGCCACAGTGGGGCAGCCTCGGGCGCCAGGTGCCCTACGCCTGGGCTGGGGAGAGCGTGTCTCCGGGCTCTTTCTCTCCTCATCCGGAAGGAGCAGGCCTAGCACTCCCTCCATCTGTGCTGAGCAGGAGGAGAGCAGGGACTCCAGGGTGGACACTGAGGAGGGTGGTGAGAGGTGGCCTGAGGGTCTCTGAGGTGGGGCAGACACCAGAGGGCTCAGGGAACAGTCTGGGCATGAGAGTGCGCAGATCTGTGCCAAGACACGGACAGCCCAAGGCAGGAAGTGGGCTGAAAAGGAGGTGCAGGGCCTTGCCTGGGTTCTCTCAGCGGCCCCCATCCCGGGGGCTGCCAGCCACATGGGTGAACTTGGCAGGAGCACCCCGCCCTCACCCGCTCTCTGGCCAGTGCCCTGCCTGGCGTGCCCATGTTGGGGGCCAGCCCAGCCCCGGCGACGGCCTTCTAGCGCCCTCTAGCGCCCGGCGTTCTCTCAGCCATTGCTGGGCTCCAACTCCTGCAACAAGTGCCTCGCTGGCCCCTCTCTGCCCCTGCTCAAGACAGTGGCTTCAGGGAGTTGGGGAGTGAGTGCCCCTGAGGAAGGGAAGTGCACCCCAAAGGCTCTTTCTCCTCTCATGCACTGAAGCTCTCTAGAGTGAAAGAGTGCTCTCCTGGGGGCAGGCCTGGAGCCCAGGGAACCCAGACGGAGGACCAGGGGCCCTCTGTGAGCCCACGATGCCATCTTTCCTGCATAGACATCATGTCGGCATCAGTGTTTGCTTGCTACAGCCTCACTCCAGCAAACACACTTGCACCCCAGCCCCTACCCCCACATGGCCCCACCCGAGACCTTCATCCTGGTCCCAGACCACACATCAATGCCTTAGTCCTGGCCAACACCCACCCAACAAACATGCCCATGCCACGGTGTGCTCCCCCTGTCGGTGGAGGCACCATAATGCAATGACTCCCAAGAGGCCAAGAACCCAGTGTGGAGGGGGCCCGGCCCCTCCTGGCTCTGCCCTTTGTCTGGCCTGCAACCAGAGGCGCCCACCCCAGCTGGAATAGGCTGGGGAGGGCAGTCTGAGGTGACTGGGCTCTGACCAAGCCTTGGCCACGCCCCTCTTCCCCCAGGTGGTCTACCTGCATTCCAACAACATCACCAAAGTGGGCGTCAATGACTTCTGCCCCGTGGGCTTTGGGGTGAAGCGGGCCTACTACAACGGCATCAGCCTCTTCAACAACCCTGTGCCGTACTGGGAGGTGCAGCCAGCCACCTTCCGCTGCGTCACCGACCGCCTGGCCATCCAGTTTGGCAACTACAAAAAGTAGAGGCAGCTGCAGCCACCATGGTGGCCTCGGTGGGGGTTTCTGGGGAGTACAGCCAGATGTCCTGAAGGGGGGAAAGCAAGAAAGCAAAGCCCGTGCCCAGCTGCATCCAACCTAGCCCCCCACCTTTGGTCCCTGACCCCAACTTGCCACCCACCACGGTCTCTCCCTAGCTCCCAAGTGCCCAAGTAGGCACAAGACCCAGCCCCTGCCACATACCCCTCGGCTTTAGAGCTGCCCCTGCCACCCCCCATGGCCACTCAGAGGCACCCTATGAAGCTTTCTTCTTATCCGCTAAAAAGTCCAGTTGTCCGAGCTCCAGTCCTAGGAAAGTGACCCTGCCGTCTGCGGGGCGGGAGGGCTCGCAGGAACGAAGACAGTGGATTCTGCCAAGGCCGGGCTTTCCTCTTCCTCACTCACTTCTGGCTTTCCAGCCCCCCTCAGTCCTGCTCCCCCCGAACACCCATGCCCCCACTCAGCCACCTTGTTCTACTGGCCCTTGGGGACCAGTTCTCTCTCTCTCTCTTTCTCTGTCTCTCTCTGCCCCCACCCGCCCCATCTCCGTGTCTGTCTGTCTGTCTCTCTCCCTCTCTGTGTCTGTCTTATGCTTCCTCAGGTCTTTCTCCCTTCTGGGCTTGGTGACCTGTCCCCTCCACCTTTCTGGACCTGACTTCAGGTCTCTCTGTCTCTAGCTCCCACTGTGCACACACACACATACACACACACCCTGACCCTCTGCCTTGGGCTGGGTCCGCTTTCTGTCTCACTGGCCTCTGGCCAGCCCCTGCCCAAGCAAGCCCGGGGCAGCTGCCTTCCTAGCCTGCCCTGCCCAGGCCTTGTCCCCAAGCCCGGACGGCCCTGGAGGAGGCCCAGCCCCCTGCCCCACTATTGAGGGGGGAGCCTTAGGCCTGTTAGACCCTGGGACTTCCTGCCCCCAGGAGAGGCCCAGCACCCCACCAGAGTCCCACGCACCCCCATGATGGCTGGCCTCCCCCATCCTTTGCCTTCTGGTCCCTACTGTGGTGGGGAGTGTGGGTGGTCACACCCAGTGCAAGGAGGGGCTGCTTCTGAGGTCAACCGTTGTCTTTCAATTAAAGAAACACTGTGCAATATGGCTGTCTCCCAGGCTCTCCAGGCCCTCTGAGCCCTTGGGCTTCCTCTTGGTGGCTTTCCCTGCCCTCAGGTCCAGGGCTGGACAAGGAGGCCTCATGACAAGGCTGGCCCCTTCCCCCTCCCTTCTAGGCATTCCTGTTGCCCCAGCTGTCCTTAGACTGGGCTCCAGAAGCAGACCAGGCCTGAGGTGGCATCTGCCCTTCCAGAATGGAGTGTTTGCCAAGAACACGCCGGCTGCAGAGCACCAGGCTAGACGCCCTCCTGCCAGGAGGGCAGCCTGGAAATCTAGGCGGGGCCCTGCCTGTGCATCTCGGTGGAGTTCGGGGGCTCAGAACAATGCTACTGCCGACACCCAGGGGCCCCGTGGGGTCCGGGCAGTGTGCTGTCTGTGCCCACCTGTGCTGGGCTGGCCTTGGCTCCCCATACAGCCCCCAGCAGGTCACTGTGTGCCGGGAAAGCCAAGCTCAGGTTGCAGTGCGCTGGCACTGGCTCCCGAGAGAGGAGCCAGGTCAGGGCTAGGGAAGCCTGCTCACTGGGGACATGGGTCTGCCCCAGAAAGGGCAGTGTGGAGGGGGACAGTCCTCATAGCAATGCTCCCTGGAGGCTCATCTAGCAGGCTGAGGTGGCCACAGGCTAGAGCCAGGCTGCTCTTCCCTTCCTCCTGTAGGAGGGGCCTCTGGCGCAGGAGGTGGGAGCTGGGGCTTCCCTGGGCAGCCGCAAGCTACCAACAAAAATAGAGCAGGCGGGCCCGCTGTGAGTGACAGCCCAGGAGAGCCGAAGCCCAGAGGCCATGCATGTCGACTCCTCACACACAACCATGCCCTTACGCCTGGCCTGGCTCTGGGGCACCCGGTGTCCCCAGGTTTCTCCTTTTTGGGATGGGAGGTGCCGCTCTGCGTGGTTGCCCAGTGATAGAATGTCACCCGGCGGCATCATAGCACTATTCTGGGGCATGTGCTCCATGGCCCAGCACTCTCTGCTGAGCTGGGCAGGCACAAGGCAAGGGCACTGGCCAGGGGCCAGGAGTCAGGGACTCGATCAAGTCCCCTTGCTGGCCGGGAGGAAGGGTGGCCAGCGCCAGGGCCTGGCAGAAACGAAAAGATGGAGCCTTCCGCCCTCTTGTCTGTGGGTGGGTCTGGGGCCTGTGTCCACGTTCTGCGGGTGCAGCCCAGCCCTCCTTTCCACTCTGTCTCCCTCCCATTTCACTCGCCTTCCCAAGCCCATCCCCCCACATCCCAGCTTAGGGACACAGTGGGGGTGGAAGTGCCACGAGGAGCTTGTGGGACAAGTGTGATATGGGTGGTAAGTCCGAGCGGGAGCCCGGAGGTGGACAGGGCCACCCCCTGCAAGGGCTGATGGGTCATGGTAGAAGGGCGGCTGGTCTTGGCCACAGCGTGAAGATGAATTACTCTATTATCAAGGAGGTTGCAAATTGTTAGATAATACTACTAATAAAGGTGAGACTGATTGGGGTTCGGAAAAAGTCCGGTGACATCAAGGTTATCCCTGCAAGCTAACAGCCCCCACAGTCACTCTCAGGTGTTTGGAGAGTGGGGTTATGCTGCAGGCCCTGGCCATGGGCACTCTGAACCTCTGGCCGTGGGCGGGCTGGGAAGGTGGGTGCAGAGGACAGCTTCTGGCCCAATCTTTGCATGAGTAGGAGCTCCTGGACTTGTGGACATATTGGCTGTGGGGCAAAAGGAGAGGAGTAGGTAGGGTGGGCGTGCAGTTTCAGCAGCACTACCAGGTTGGTTGTGGTGCCCCCGTGGCCTGAGGCCCTTAACAGGCACAGCCTGGGGAGGGGAAGAGGGCCATAAGAAATGCCACCCGAGGGCCAGGAGCACCCCAGAGCTGGTGCAGGGCAAACACACACACACATACACAAGCACACACAAACATGTGCATATGCACACATGAATACACAAACACACACACAGCAATGAATGTCACGGGAGCGGCTTGCTTGGAGAGCGCTGTTTGTTCTGTGAAAGGGACACCTGCCAAAGAGCAGGCTTTGAGGGGCATGGGCTCGGGGGACATTTCCAAGCACTTATTGCAGGTCAGGTGCCTCCTGGCTGTGGGGGTGCCCAGCTGGAGCCTAAGCCAAATCCACTGCTTGGGTTTAGACAAGTCAGGGCTTGTCAGAGGGGCAGCCAGCCAGGCATCTGCAGCCTGGGGACGGGGACGGAGAAGGGCCCCAAGGGAGACGACCCCTCCTTGAAGGGCCTGAGGGGGCAGGGCCTGGAGCCAAGGCAGAGGGGCTGCTCTGAGAACGTAGGGGATGTCATTCATCTATCCATCGCCACCCCTCTGCTGGTCTCCAGGCCCTGCCCCTGAGGGCTCTGGGCTCTGGTCTCAGGAGGGCAGCGACTGCAGGAAGGGGCCTTGCAGGGCAGGGCACCATCGCCAGCGCAGAGTCCTTGTCTCCCTTGGCCTCTGGTAGGCACAGACCCTCTGGGGCCCTGGAGAACCCTGGCAGCCTGGGAGCAGGCAGTAGTGCCCAGGGGACTGAGCTGGCCCTTGAGGCTGGAGCCTCGATGGCGGGAGGAGTTGTGCCCAAAGAGCCATCACCGACACATACACACACACACACTCCATCACCCACCAGAGCTTTCCAGCACCACCAGGCATAGAGTCTATTGAGGCCGAGCAGCCTGGGAGGCCCACAGAGTACAGTAGGCAGGGCTCTGCAGGGTGGGAGTGCCTCGGTGGCCCAGTTGGGGCTTATCCTGTGGCTGTTGTCACAAAGCACCACAGACTAGGGGGCTGACAACAACAAAAATGGCTTCTCTCCCGGTTCTGGAGGCCAGAGTCCGAAATCCAGGTGTGAGCAGGGCTGAGCTCCCTCTAGAGGCTCCAGGTGAGGCTCCCTCCTGCCTCTTCCAGCTCCTGTTGGCTCCAGGCGTCCTTGGCTTGTGGCCGCATCACCCCGCTCTCCGCCTCCCTAGTCACATGGCTTCCTGTTCTGTGTGTGCATGTGTGAAATTGCCTCCCTCTTATAAGGACACTTGTCATTGCACACAGGGCCTGCCTGGATGATCCAGGATAATCCTCCCATCTTGAGACCCTTAACTTAATCACACCTGCAAAGACCCTATTTCCAAATAAGGTCACGTTTCAGTTCTGGGGGTTAGGACATGGACATATCTTTGGGGACACTTTCAGCCTGCCACAGGGCTACAAGTGGACTTTGATTTGCTGGCCCCCGAGGCGTTGGGGGAGGAGCCGTGATCTCAGCCAAGGAGAGAGTGGGCATGAGAAGACTGGGGCCCAGGGCCCAGCTGGAAGGACCTCCACTTAAGAGCAGGCCGAGGAGTTACTTGCTGTCCCAAAAGTGGCAGAAGGGAAAGCCAGCAAGTAGGGGCATGGCCCAGAGGCCCGGGGGAGGGGCCTGGTGACAGTGTGGTGGCCGAAGACCTGGGACAGAAAGCACTTGATGGGGAGGGGGTGTAGCGGGCAGGTGGGAGGGGTGTGCAAGGCTAAGCTGGCCAAGCCGGCGGGCAGGGGGCTGGGGGGGGTGCTCTCCTCAACTTTTGTTCTTTAGGCCAAGATAGCCTATGTGGCCATGGAGGAGAATAGGGTGGGGACCAAGGCCTGGGGATCCCAGAAGAGGCAGGTTCAGGGCATGGTGGGGTGGGCTGGCTTGGGACCAGGTGGGTGCCGAGAAGCAGGGTGGTCTGGGCCACTGGGCCAAGTGCCTTGCCCCTGTCACACCCCTGGCCCCAGCCATGACCTCCCTGGGGCTGGCTCCCTAAGTAGTTCCAGTGCAGAAGACAAGGCTTGGTGTAAGGAGGAACTTTCTAGCAAACTTTCCCCACCTACCTCTTTATAGATGGTGGAACCAAGAGCGGCTGGCCAGCGAGCAAGGACCACCAAACAATTCGAACCACAGAAATAGGACCATCCTCTCTCCTGGCCATTAGCTGTTCAGGGATCACAGTTTGCTAGGGACTGGGGACTTTCATGACATCTAGTTCCTTGCCCATCTGACCTTGGCCTCGGTGGGACTGATCACGAAGGCATGTCGCACTGCCAACTCCTGGCTGGTCTAGCCCTTAACGGTGGCACCGGGGCCCGGCGGAAGAGGTGAAGAGGTATCAGCAGGTGATCTCTGCCTCAGATTTCGTCACCGATGTGCCTGTGCCAAGCGCAGAGGTGCATAAATACCCAACTGGGATGGCAGCTCCTGCTCAGGGAGCAGGACAGGCTTCATGTGCTGGTGCCAATTCCCCCGTGTGGACAGCAGCTATCAGTTAAATGAACATGCCCCTGGGGGATCAGTATGTCCCTCGGTCCCTGAGGGAAGTCAGCGACACAGCCCCAAGGGAGTTTTCTCTTTTTTCTTTATCTCTCACAGCCACTTCCAGGCCTTTAAGCATGGGTCCCCCCCAGCACCTCCTTCTTCTCCCTGGGCCCCTCTTCTGTCCACTAAGAGCTGCTGGCAC